ACATAGGAAGGCAATTACATTCCATCGTTTAATATGGTGACTGAAATATAGTACCTCTTATGTCTTCAAAAAAATGTCTGTGTCATAATGCAGACTAGGCCTCTCCACTGTCTTGCCTGGTTCACCCTCCAGTTGTCGATCTGCCTTATCCTGAACCTGAGCTTCGTAGCCAGACATCTGTCCTGCTGCAAGACCTTGAAAGCTGCTGGGTAGGACCAGTGCATCACAGGACAGATCTTCCCCAAGCATCCCCACCCTAGGAAGAGCTTTCTAGAGAGAGGTGTAGTACACAGTCCCCCATCTATGTCACTTTAGAAGTCATCGGAGTGAAAGAAATTGGAAGGAAAAAAAAAAAATCTACACCTTTACGTGAGCTTCCATGCATAATGAATTACAACATGCATCCTTTAGGCCCAATTTGGTGCTCAGTGAGCCAGTTGGGAATTAATTCTTGGCTCCTGCAGCTGAAAGACTGACTTTTCATGCTAAAAAATTGCTGTGGGCTATCAGGGCTACTTCTACCTCCAGGACACACCTTCCATTGCTCCTCATCAAGCAAACCTGTGAAGTAGGAGAGTTCAGCCTTCAAGCAAAATGCTTATTCAAAATTATATCAATGAGAACATGAAATTTCATTTTGGAATAGAAATTGAGATTTCCAGACCGAGATAAGAAAATTATCCTGTGTTTACCACGGCAAATGTTTTTTTTTTTTATTCCCTTGAAATATATGTAAGACAATTTGTGTTTCTTTTACTTTGGAGCACTGCTTTGTGAACAGAATACAGAAAAATCTTCTCAGGGCTCTGGAAACAACGGGTTCTCTAGCAGTAATTTGCTCATACAGTACTGAGTAGCTGCCTATGAGACAGTATTGGTCTACTTTGAAAAAAATGGAAATGTACTTTGAACCCCAGGTGATCTCATTTAGCATAGGAATAAAAAAAGCCTCCAACATATTTAAGTTACCCCTATGACAACTGTTTTTGAGTGGATATACCTCTAGTGACAAACTGTTTCCTTCAGTCTCACAATTTCCTTTTGTTCTCTCATCTACCTTGTTTGCCACCACTAGAGGTCTGTTTTGTTAAGGAGGTTAATTTATTTACTCACTTAAGGGGAGAACAAAAAAGATTCTCACATTTTTTAGCTGCAGAAATTTGGACACCAAAGCTATAATGAAAATCATGTTGGGCTTTGCTGGGGAAAGGGGTGACAGCAGCCGTGCCATCCCACAGGAATCTTCTTAAGCATCATTATAACAAGGAAAAAGCTACTACGGGTGACCATTCTGCGGCAATGATAGTTTAAATCTCTTCCACTCTAATTCAATGAAAAAGAAGGGAAGACAGAGAAGTATTCAGTGGCATAGAGTGGGAGAAGTGTTTTTTTAGCTCTGGTAACTCCACATGAAAGGCCACTATAATGGAAACTACTCTGAATTTCTCTTTGGAACAGCTGCAAGGCAGTTATTTAAACCTACTCATTTACTTCTAGTATTTGGCTGGTAGGATCCACTGCTGGAAAAAGCAGAGAGAATGATGAATTTTTGTTGTTTTCTTGTTTTAAGCATTTCTGAAGCACTGTTGGAAGTCCCCAGTTCATTAAGCAACTGGAGCTCAAATAATTTCTTCTTCAAAGCTTTTACTGCAGAATTCGTCTCATGCCATTCACAAAGAGAGAGGATATTAATCACTCCACAGAGTACATTAATCAGTTTAAATCACCACTTGTTATGTCTGCTTTTTACAAGCAGCAAAGCCCTCTAGGATTTTAAATGCTTCGTACAGATGTATTTAACTTGCCACTTACTCTATTATCAGATTAATCAGGTTTCTATGATAAAATTTTGCTTACACATAGCTGAGGTATGAAGTTGTCACATGAATATGCCACAGAATATGCCCAACTGAAAAATTTAAAAGTACTGTTATGTTTTTTTGCTCTCTCTTAAAGTGTAGGATGTCTTGTCTAATCTGAAATCACTGGATGCTGCCTTAAAATAAAACCCTGTTGTCACAAACTCAAAGCGTATTCTGGAATCTTTACATTTCATTGAATACTTTGACATATTTTGAATGGCATCCCAGAATTATTTTCTATTTGAAATTTCAATTATGGATTGCTAAATTGCCCTGCAACTTTACTTATCCTTCACTTGTAAGCGTGACCAAGATGCCTTAAACGCATGCTCTTAATCATCAATTCTTATGTCTAGTAACAGGGTGCTAGTGAGGAAAGAAGATGGGAGCGGAGAGCTTCAGACAGGAGGGTATGAAGAGACATGGCTGTGGAAAAATCTGTTGCTTTAGTGGAGGGCTGTGGAGAGCACCAAAATCAGTTCGTATGTTGACACACTAGCAATAAGAATATTTTTAAACAATAACAACAATTTCATGCTTGATATCAAGAAGGGACTTTCAAAAACCTTTTCAAAATGTGAATCTTTTGTTACCTGACTCAGAGAATAAATCTTGAGGAAGATAGTATTTACAATTAAACTAGCAGGAAATTGCCTCATTGTGCTGCCACCACAAGCATCTCTAGGTTTCAAGCTCAAGCAAAGACCTGTCAGGGTGAGCTTTGGATTGCAAAAGGTCTCTGGGATCTCCTCCTCTCCACGGTAAATAAGAGTCTAGCCTTGTTTGTCCTGTGCAGCAAAGGATTGATAATAGGCAGAGGAATATTTGTTACTGAAATGTATACACATACATACACATAAATGTATACAAAATAGATAATATTTACTTCTAAGACTAAATTGACCGAATGTGAGGGAAAAAAATATCCTGTCAATGCTAAAGGGAAGTTTAAAGATAAAAGATTAAAAAAAGATTAAAGATAAAGGAAGTTTAAAGTGAAGTAAAAAACCACTTCTTTTTGTAACTGAGATGCCATCTAGCTCATGCAGAAGGTATGCAAGGCTGTTTCCAAGTTTAAAAAAAAAAACCCTTCCTTAAATCATTACTCTCTAAATGTCTTCTGCAGCACACTGCAGCATCTGCTTGGTTTTAAAAGGCAAACTAACATCTTACAGAAAAAAAAAAGTATATTAATGAATATAGTTTTCTAAACTAGATGCAAAATTCACTTGTATATCAACACAAATGCTAAAGGCAAGTCCACATAGTGCCAATGTGAAAAGTGTTTTACTTCTATACTTCTAATGATTTGTCTCTTTAGCTACATGTATCACTATGTCCTTCCATGCTAAAAAGCTCTTCCTTACTGTCAGAAATACACATATGGCTCACAGCCGATTCTTTGGAGCTGTTACTTGTTTATACAGGATTGAAGACTTACACCAACCATCAGATCCACAACGATTTACTCAAGTCTGTGGGAATTCATGCCCACATGTAAATCTGCACATACGGACATGAAATTTGAGGCCATTTTTACAACATGAGGTTGATAGAATACTTTTCTATCATGATCTCCCACACTGAAATACCAGCCTTTCCTTTACTTCTTGTTGCCATTTCTTTTTGGCTTCTGAGTCAAAACTCATTGAAGCACAGTCTCTATAACCCAAGTTATAGAGGGAGAGCTGTCTGGATTACCAGTCAATGACCAGAATCATCCATTTTCCTCTGGTCTTTGGTCTAGTTGCCCAAGTCTGGGGCAGCATTACTCAGTGTAAACTCCCCGCAGGCACAGGACACGTGCATTGTTTCATACCTTAAGTGCAACACAATGGTGACTACACTGATGATCAAGTTCTTTAGAAGTGATAGCTTTTCTTCCACTCATTCTTGTTCCACGGCTGACCTTATTTTCCCTTTGAGAAGGCACTTATCCTGAATAGCAAGCTTTAGATGTACAAATTTCTCATGCATAAAAAAGGCTCTGAAGAGAGAATCTCTGGAGATAGGAGTGCAACTGCCTTTCAGAGCAGATGAGAAAATGGGCTGAGGGAGCCTTTCTTCCAGAGAGAAAAGTCAGGCAGCAGCCAGGCAGTCTGGGACGCTAGCCTGCAGCATCTGCCTCCTACTAGGTATTGTGCTCTGTTGTTAAGACACAAAATCCTTCTCTGACCTTAATGGGGATAGAGACTTGTAAAGCAACCAAAATGCCTTTAAAAGATATTAATTCTCCATTTGAAACACAGGAGGAAGAGGACCACAAACAAGTTGCTCCAAAGCAGATTTCAAATTCAACTCATTTCACATCACCACCCATTGGCGGACGTTTTATTGCAACTTCTTAGTTAATAACTGCTAAGAGGTGTAGTTTCCTAAGCTAGAGGCCTCCAGCAAACAAACAAACAAACTCCAAAATAAACATTAAATCTCTAATTTTCTGATATCTACCTTGATCAGTTGTGGTGCCCTCTTAACCAAAATATACGTCCTTTAAAATTAAGTCGTAACAGACACTTGGGTTTCTATGAATTCAAATGGAATTTGAAAATGTTTTTCTGAGATGAAATCTTGACTGTTTTAAAATCTCCTTTTCTATCTGCAATATTTACTTCACCAGAAAACATAAGTACTTGCTGTTCAGTACATGGAGCTGAAGAAATCACTTAGGTATTTATAATATCAGGTCTGAAACACACACTTTGATTCATAAAAGCAAGATTAGTGTGTTAGTAATTGTAAATATGTTAATTTCACTGCTGCTTTTGGCTTAAAACTTCAGATTTTCAGATAAGAACACTGAATCTGAAATTTCCTGCGGTATTATTCCAACTGACCTTATTACAGTCGTCTTCTGCTTTGTACTCATTAGCATAGTAAAAATTAAACCATGGTGCAGAGTCAGTAAAAATGGTATTTTGCCAGGCTTTCTTCTACAAATAGTAGTATAACACAGCGATGTCAAGAGTCAAACTATAACAGCATTCTTGGCAAGCGATGAGTGTCTTTAATACAATATTGTACAAAAAAATTACCTTGAATCAGGAGTGAGATAGGAGAAAAAGCTAGGATTCAATGAGGAAATAAGAAAGAGTTTCAGTCAGTTCAGCCACCAGAGTTTCATCATGGTCTACTCACCTCAATCACCTCAGGTTGGGACATCATGGAGGACGGCACCAAATCGGTAGGGATATCCATAGCTGCTCAGAATGTCCCTGCTGTCCTTGTACTCTTCCTCTGCAATCGCAAACCCTTGGTAGGAACACAGAGGCACTTCCTCAGGCGCTAGTCATGCTGGCATTTGCTCCTAGTAAGCGTGAAGAAGTAAAGTTGTTGAGAGCAACAAGAGAAATGAGTATGCAGTCAATACCCAAGCACCTCAGCTGCTGTAAAACCAGCCTGTGAGTTTGCACAACACAACTTGCTTACATGACCATTTGCAACAGATTTGCAGAAGTTTCAAAGGGCACATTGGAATTTGGTCCAGAACAGCAAAATAATTCACCCGACCACATAAACTAGAATTCACCCAAACCAAATACAGCAAGAAGGCTAAAGCACAGACTGTACATACTAACAAGAAAAGATGGTCAGCTACAGAGCATTGGAATTATGTTACCTTTTTTTTTTCCTCCACACCAAAAGGAAAAAAAACCCAAACCACCGTCACAGAAGAGTACGCGATATTACTTGCTGGAATGCAGGATATATTTACTTCCTTAACAACTATTGTTTCACACTTTGGTGATTGCATGGCCTTTTCATTTGTGTTAAGAGAAATAACTTGAACTTTATAATAGTCTTATCCTTGATTTATACTAACCACTTTTTTTTTTCCCCAGATAGGCCCAGATTTGCTATCATGGATATACTGAATTGCCATGTAAAGATTGATCAGATCATCCAAAAGAATGAAGTTATTTTCATAATTGACATGTCTATCAAGGTTAGATCAGCTTCACTATATGTTTGTTCTTTTGTGCAAAGAAAATCAAACAAAAAGGGAGAAAACTATAAATGGCCAAGCAATGAATCCTATTTAAAAGTTCTGGACTAAGGCTACTGAAGTTTTTTTCAGCCCCCAGTCAGGCCAGACGGATATAACACAACCCACAAATTAGCCACAACGGAAAGGATTTTAGAGAGACATCTACTGCTTTCTGTATCTACCACTTCCTATTCTGTAAAGTCACAGTGGAAAACCACCCATGCTAAATACATTCAGTATCCAATAAACATACCAAAAGTGACCCCAAACCGAACCGGGATTGTTCAAACTTAGACCTTGATGCAGTAACACAGTCAGTGCTAGTAACTTTCCTGGCCACAGGTTCTTTTTTTCAAAGGCAACACTTAACCTCCCAAGCCAAAAAAGAACAGATAAGTGCTGTTGGAAAGTTGCACTTCACATGCTTTTCTGAGTCAGTTGTGTCTTCTTATTCATTTTAACTCAGCCTTTACACACCACTGTGGAAATTATTCCTCCTTCTTAAAAAGCATCATCTTGAAATGCCTGTTTCACATTTCAACACATCCTCGCATGCCTTACGTCACATGTAGCTGTCTCATCTTCCAAGCCCTAGGATCAATTTTTCCATCTTTATATAGCTTTCCAGTGACCCCTATTCTTTCCTACTCATTTCTGGCTAGCAGTCTTTCATTCTTTCCACTCCTTGCTCCAGATTTCTACTGCTGTACTCATGGACAGGACAGAAAATGGAGATTCAGTATTCCTCCAAGAAAGACTTCACTGGAAGTCAAAAAACTGAGCTACACATCCTTCAGGCTTCCTGTTTTCAAAACCAGAGTTTTGTCCATTTTCTGAAATTCACTAGTTTTTCCGTGGTGCATGACAGATGAAGGAAACTGTTAACTTGAAAGTACCACCTTTCTGACTTAGGGAAGCCTTGCTATTTGACCAAGAATACAGTGATTTTAGTAAAACTTCATCAATAGCCCAAAGATCCTCAACTAGCACATTCCATCACTGTCTTATGAGCTGTCACAATCATAACTTAAGTCTTTGTTTCTGTTCTCAGGACACACTTAAGAGCAGCTCTTTACAGCAGCTCACTGTTAGCTTTTTTAAAAATTTATCCCCTTAATCCTGAAATGCTGCCACCCTTGGATAATGAAGATGGGGAAAAAATTACAGATGAAGTAGATTTCATGAAAGATTATTTAAACCAAAACCAGAGGCATGTTTATAATCCTGCTTGCCTCATTAAAAGGAGAGAAAATAATAATTTTTAGAAAGTGAGCAGCACAGAGAAGAAGAGAAAAGCTAAGAAAAAAAAGTAGTCTTAAATCTGTTCAACCTTTAGCCAGCTCTGCGTACTCCAGGTAAAACACAAATGTCAGAAACAGCTTAACGACATGAAATCTGATGACCGCTTCAACACAGATGAGAGAAGAAATATGCCTGTAGTAATTTTTCAGCATCTCTCCAAGAAACAGAATACAAGATTAGTAAAAAATTCCTAAGCCTACGACTGTTTCACATTTCCCATTCTGCACCTAGCTGCATTATCATTGCTTATGTTGTGCTGACACCTCCATTTGGCTACAAAAGGAAGGCTCTTCTGCACACGCCTTGCTTCTCAACCTCCAGGCCAGAACATACACAACAATTAAGACTTTCTGCCAACTGGTTTGGCTCCTAAAAGCATTCCAGCTGAAAATAGGTTGGACTGTACAAAAGGGCTCTCCCCCCACTCCCAATCTGCCTCAGCTTCTTCAGTATCAGCACAGCAGTACAAAACCAGGCTCACTCCATTCAAGCAAACAAAGGTGGTTCCTGACTTAATACCCATGTGAGTTCAGAGTGCAGCCGTACTTTTTTCAAGAACTGCGAATAAAGGGAACAGGATCCTCAAATGAACTTTACTAATAGGTGTTATGACAGAAAATGTAATCTCTATTAAAAAGAAAGTCTGAAACATGAAAGCATAGGAGTGGCTTCTCACCAGTGAGATTTTGATGGCTTTCTGCACTACAAAACATTGGAAAAATATCCAAATTTGGAAGCAAATTCACACAAATGATTCTCAAACGCTGGAACTGCAGGTGTCGGAGGTATATATTGCCAGATGTACCCTTCTCTCGGTAAGATGCTGCTGTCTTTACTGAGTGCACCTAGAGAACTGCAAACTGGAGAAACATATTGGATCTGTATCTAAAATTTGTAAAATGAAGATTATAGAAATTCTATACTCTGTGAAGGTGACTCATCTCTAAGAAATGATGTTTCACTGTAAACTACAACATTTAGAAAGTCATTTATGGTAAACACATTGAGGGTTTGGTTAACAGAGCTAAAAAAAACCAACAGATGACCCTCAGCAGAGTAGTGCCTACCTAACATGCAGAGCAGAAACGCATCCTCACCAAACAAAACATACTACTCTCCAACATGCTGTGATTAAGCATCGTGATTTACGGATCAGCAGTCTGAGACTACAGAAAAGAGGAACCATGCTGTTTTTTCATTGCCTAGAGTATTTAGGAGAAATGCAATTGGGTATCACCAAAACACCATCTTGGAGAAATTGCTCCCAAAAACTCCATTAAAATGACAACAATTATTACTCCTATTCCTTCCAAGCTCCTTACACAGTACATTGTGATCTTCAATTTAGGAGTGATACAGCAATACCAACAACTTCTGCATCACCATGTATCTCATCTGAGCCTGCAAATACACATTGCCCCTGCTAGGGCAAGGTGCTGGGACCGAAATTTTTCACTATCTGTGGCTGTCTCCTGAGTCATACAATTTCAGGTGCCCTGCATTGTTGCCTACTTCATCTTTTCTTTCTTGCATCTCTACCAAAGATTCTTTTGGTGTCACAGCTTGATTTCACAGACTTCAGGTTTCTGCATTACATGACTCCAAGGATGTTGATTTGGTATGACCTTTAAGCTGTTAAATGTGACTTCATTAAACAAACCTACTCTCTCTGCAATCCCTAGAGCATAAAAGCCTAACTTACAGTTTCTCAGAGGACAATTTTAAGCCCTAATTGTTCCCAGATGGACAGGACCCATAAACCCATCAAGGAAGGTAAAACATTCAAACAACATGTAAAAAGGAAAGAAAGAAAAGATCTCACATAAGGGTCGCACTTCCAGATGTCACTTCAGAGACATTCCAGATTTCATATGGCATTTGAAGTCTTACCACTCAAAAGTAATCATTTGGCATCACTTAGCTCTGGCAGTCTCCCTCACTAGATGACAGCTGCTTGTAAGCATTAGTTTGTTCAACACACAAATAAAAGTATGACTCCATCATGGCAGCCTTATAAGAGAGAAAGGCAAATGAACATCGTACAAGGAAGTGCAACACCAATGCCTTGACCTACCACTTCATTTTACCACTTTCTAAAGCGATGGTGATAACATGAAATTTTAGTTACCTACTATGGACCCATGGAGATGTTTTTTCTGCTCTCCAGTAAGTACTTGGTTAATAAATGAACAGCTATGGATACACTTTCTAGTAAATAAGAAAATAACCATGGAAGACAAAAAAATTTATTTCAATTTCATGCTGTTAAGAAAAGAGGCCTTTTTACTCCTTTTTTGACTACACTGACTGCTAGAAACTATTGGAAAAATTTGGATTTGCCTTTGCAAATTACACAGCACTAGACCTTCCTAACAAAGACAATAGCTCTTCTGAGTCCTTATGTTATTTTAAGTAGAGCCTTCACCACCTCTGGTGTCACTTTGAACAGTAGATGTACTGATTCACTTACACAAGTACAGTTCTCTAGCTTAAAACTGTTCATAAAAAGTTATTTAATAGCAACTCTTCAAACACCAAGACTTCTCTTGGCATATACTTCAAAATAGTTAATACAAAAATCCCCAAAATATCCAGGATATGTCATCACGATTTTATAGGTGAGCAGAGCTATCTGCAATTCTGAAACAATAGGTTGAACAGATTGGAAAAGTGCAAACCACACCACAGAAATTCAGATAAGGAGCTCTTCATTTCCCTGAAACTGCGAGACAATACAAACTCTGATGTCAGTATTGATCTCTCCTAAACAGTTAGTTTCAGCAAGCCTTTGCATAAACACAGTACCCTTTTTTGTTTTATTTTTTATTTTATTTCCTCTTGCTTTCATCAGTTCACGGCTGGTTAAAACAAGCACAAAAGCCACATGCCAGCTCCCTGTCCTGTCATCTTAGATCTTTCCTCCTCTTTCCTCACATGGCATGTCTGGAGTGGTGTTTCAGTAAACATGTTGTTTTTGTTTGAGGGACCAGACTGCTGAATCTTGAAGTGAATTTAGCAC